GAGCGGCGTGGAGAGAATGAGAGGACGAGGGCTGTTATTAGATGTGTGAGGGAGAAAGGAGAGGTCAACAGGTGTCTCCCGCCGCTCTCTTCCTCTATTGCGTCTGACCTCCGCTCAGTGGCGGTGGCAATGAGGGGCCGGCGTAAGTAAGTCCTGACAAATGTTTTGTCATCCTGCAGGGTCACCGGTGGCACAGCTCCAAATGAAAACTGTTCTGTCTGGCTGCCTGTCTCCTTCTCACATTCAGAAGCCTGACATAAAACACAATCCAATTAATTTCCAGACTTTTTAGCGTGTGAGTAACAGAAGCTGTTGGACTGTCTGAGATCATTCGCTTTTTGCTAAGTTCATCACACCTACAGCCATCAAAGCTTAGTAACAAATCAGACCTCTTCAACAATACATTTCAAGACAATTCTTTCAACTGACCTCGCGACAGCACAGCTGCACTTTTTCAAGGGTGGGTTCTCTGTTTATGTCCTTTAAGTGAAATGATGCCACGTTCTTTCACTGATGAACCTGTTGATTTTGGAATAAATTACTGGTAACACTTTAGTTTAGTGGCCAATTCTCACTTTTAGCTAGTTGCTTATTAGCATGCATGTTATTAGCATATTGGCTGTTTATCAAGCACATATTAATGCCTTATTCTGCATGACCATATTTTAGATCTCTTAATCCACCCAATATACCTAAACTTAACAACTACCTTACTATTAATAAGCAGCAAATTAAGCGTTTCTTGATGCAAAAGTCATAGTCAATCATTTGAGTAATCAGATGTGGTCCCCAAACTAAAGTGTGAACATGTTACTTCAAATGCAGTTTATAATTGTGCTCAAAACAGAAAGCTCAAGCTTTTGCATCAGGTGTGTGTGTGTCCCAATTACATATCACATAAAAACACCTTTTGTTTGACATGGCTTCTCAACGCAGTGATTTGATGAGCTGTTGTTGAGAATATCAAATGAAAGGAAGTTGAAGCTTTGAAAGCTCGTCTTGGGACTCCTGTGTTTGTTTGGTTTTTAAATGTAGAAACACATCTACACTACACATTGACACTAAGTCTGCCTAATGATGCAGGTCTTCCTCAAGCTGACAGTCCACCAGCTATAATAACAGAACAGAAACCGCTTTTGCGTACTTTCTGTTATCAGGCCAAAGTCTTGTTTTCTTTGCTTTCCTGAAGATTCATGACAATCATGAGTCAGAGAGAAAATGTCACCCAAAGGGATGATGGAAAAGGCTTTGTTATTAATAAGCTCAGAGCAAACAGCCAATCACTGTTCTGTGTTAACAAGCTCCTCATCTGTATTCAGAGCGTCTCCTTTTAATTAGACTACATGCACAGATCCTCCTGAGCTAGCGTGTGTGTGTGTGTGTGTGTGTGTGTGTGTGTGTTTGTGCGCGTGCGTGCGTGAGAGCGAGCGGGCGGGCGTGCATGTGTGTGTGTGTCTGTGTGTGTGTGTGTGTGTGTGTGTGTGTAACTCTCCACCACCCAGGCTGCACTACATGTACTAAGAGTGTGTACTTCCTTTCTCCGTTTCATTTAGTCTTCTGCCCTCAGCGTGGCTCAGTTCACATGCCACCCGCTGATCTGGCTTTCTGCTTCTGTTCTTCCCCAGAGTTTTCTCTTCTTGCATCATGTTCTCTCACCTGCCACTGGCTTTCATTTGATGCCCTACTTACATTGTTTTTCATGTTTACAATGCTTTCTAGAACAGTTGACTGTGATTGGTCAAAAATGGCATTCATGTGTGTATAATTACTGGTAAAGAAGACCATTTCCGCTCATTTCTGCATCTGTTGTATCTCTACACACTGTTTTTTCCTTGTATAATATATACTCATATATAATTGTATACAGTTTTATGAAATAATTAAATGCATATCTTAATATTAATAATAATGTAATATTTTAATATAAAATGTACACTTATATCAGTATTTGATGTTATGTAGTAGTCATGTAGCAAGTACTAAGGCATTATTGACATAACAGTATGACTTTCTGTAAAGCTGCTTTGAAACTATGTCTACTGTGAAAAGTGCTATGTGAATAAATACAAATACAAAGTAGAAAGCATACTCTACACAAACATGTGGATGCAAACACTTCTAGCAAGAGAATGAGTTCAGTTGTTACGTTCAGATTTTTTTTTTTCCCTGATGCAATGTAATGCAAAACACAAAATATGCATTATAATCTCAGAGTTGCCATGAGGGGCACAGTAGCAGACATTTGTGTAAACCGTCTTCTTCTATGCTCAGTTTTCTGTTATCTGATTAATAGCACATCTGGTTTAATGCATAAGACATGTGAAGCAAACTATAAAAAATAGTTACTGTGACAGAAAAGCTTCAGTGGGCTCGTGTGTGTGTGCTTCCATGTGTAGCAACAGCTCAATACTAGATTGAGTGTTTTGACATCTGGTCTCTGCCCTCACACACCTCAGCTCGGTCCTGCCTGACTCTCAGGTCAAAGAGAGGCTGGACTTTATTGAGAGGTTTGCTGATTTATGACTGTACACGAAGGTTTCGGTTTAGTTAGTGTTAAGGTTAAGTCAAAGATTAATGTTAGGGTCAAAGCGTACTAGACATTCAGTCATAACACCATAATGTAGTCATCTCATAACCAACCACCAATGCAGAAAACACTCTGCTTTTCATCCCAGAGAGAAGACGGCCGCATGCATTCACCGCTACATATATGTGATGCATGATGCATTGTGTGTGTTTAATGACACTGATGAAGTGTTTGGCACAGGTGAATTACTCCGTTACAGTAATTACAAGCCATCACTTTTGCATTATGGGGAGGCATTATAAGAAACCTCTCTCTCACTGATGCATTGGTTAGTTTAGAGATGCTTCAAATGTGTGTGTGTGTGTGTGTGTGAGTGAATGAAGGAGCCTTTATCTGGTCCACAGGTGCCTCATTTGCTTTCACAACACTTCCCGTCTCTCTCTCGCACCACTCGTACCAGTTCACTCTCGCTTTTCACTTCAGCCATTTTAAATGTAAACATCAGAAAGAGAAATTTTTCAACCGAAAGCCGTTGTTGCTATGAAGTTGCTATGAAACTGAAATAGCGTCCGATCTTCTCTGTATTGTGACGTGCATCTGAGTAAAAAGGATGCATTGGTTGTTGACTGGATGCAGGCAGATCTGAATAAGAAGTAAGAAATGGTTGGCGTTTAAGAGTAACTAAATGATTGGAGAAAACCTGCAAACATACCCTAGTAAAAAAATAAGGCAGCGGCTATTTGCACTAAGTTAAAATAGCATATTTTCTAAATAGATGCTATTTACACTAAGTGCAAATATTGATGGATTCTATTTACACTGTTAAAATAGCAGGATTTTCTGCTTTATATATTACTTATTGCAAACAGTGGCAATTATCAGCACCTCAGTACTGTAGTAAATTATAAAACAGTATGCAATAATAAAGTATTGAGTGTAAATTATCATTTTAATTCAAATTATTAAATGGATGCCACCTTATTGGGACAATAAAGCCCTCCCTACACCTACCCGATACTTTATTTTCAACGTTTCAATTATTTCTTTAATTTTTTTTTTAAATAAGTGCCTTGCCAATGTGATATGGGATTTGAAAAGGGAGAAAAAAGTTCGGCAAAAGGCGGATTCGAACTCGATCACGACAAAAAAAAAAAATGACAGTACGCAATTTACCATTTATGCCACTGGAGCTGATGTTTGACAGTCAGTTTTTGTAGCATTGAGTGTAAATAGACACTCCGAAAAAATAAATATACTAAAATGTATTTGAAATACATTTATTTCATGCTAAGCATACTATAGGTACATTTACATATTTATGTACTTAATAAAATTATCCTGCAATTGTACTTTTAGTCTGCTAAACTGGTCTACTTAAAGTCTGCTAAATTAAAACTACTAATTTTATGTTTAATGCACTTTAATTGTGGGGAAGTAGTGCTGAAGTCCATCTAAAGATATACTGAAGTATATTTGATTGTGCTGAAGTGGAACTATGCTTCAGGTGCACTTTAAATATCTTGCATTTAAAGACCGATATTATTCAAAGATCATACAATCTTCATCAATAGTGACATTAAAACACATTTAGGCTTAATATTAATAAATGTGTGTTGTGCACAATGTAGTGCTCCAAATAAAGTTAAATTATAATTTTTATATCAGTAAGTCTTGAGCGATACGTCAGTAAATATGTTAATAGATTTGAACTATACTTAGTATGAAATAAATGTATTTTAAATATAGTACTTTTTTTTACTAGGGTAAGCAGAGAGAAGGTGCTTCACAGGAAGATTTAGACATGACATTTTGATCTAAGACTTCAAAAATGAAAGCGTGAAAACATGAGCATGAATGACTCGTTTACATAATCTTTAACATGCACTTAGATCGTTTTGATAGTTTGGGTGGCAATAAAACTTGCTGGCCTGCATAAAATGTCATGGAATGTCCACAACTGACATTCATATTTCTGAGATGCCAAAAAAAAGCATAAAAGTCATAACAAAAAGTGGAGTGAGATGAGCTAATATTGCAAGCAATTGTGGAACAAATCAAAATAAATGAATGTGTCTGTCACATCATCATGCGTTTATTTGCCTCCAGGAGGGTGACAACTTCTGAATTGCATTTTAACAATGAGTTGTATTTGTGAATCCGAAAGGTACTTGATATGTGATTGACATTCATATTTCTGAGATGCCAAAAAAAAAGCATAAAAGTCATAACAAAAAGTGGAGTGAGATGAGCTAATATTGCAAGCAATTGTGGAACAAATCAAAATAAATGAATGTGTCTGTCACATCATCATGCTTTTATTTGCCTCCAGGAGGGTGACAACTTCTGAATTGCATTTTAACAATGAGTTGTATTTGTGAATCCGAAAGGTACTTGATATGTGAACGTGTTTCAGAGTCCTGCTGAGTGTGAATCGTGTCGGCTAGTGTAACCCGTCTCTCGTCTTCTCTCTCAGAGCCCATGCGGACCCCCAAGAGTCTGAAGATCGCAGAGACGCAGGCGCGCTTCATCGCCGTGGACTGGGAGTCGCTGGGCTACAACATCACCCGCTGCCACACCTTCAACGTCACCATCTGCTATCACTACCACAAAACCAACCAGAGCAAAGCCGACTGCCTGGAGATGGACCCCAAAGCCCCCCGACACGTGGTGGGCAACCTGCCGCCTAACACCAACGTCAGCCTGAAGATGATCCTCACCAACCCGGAGGGACGCAAAGAGAGCGACGAGACCGTCATCCAGACGGAGGAGGATGGTACGAGAGTGTAGCACACACTTCCCTACCCTTTTTGACCACATCAGTATTACTTAAGAGTATCTGTAGACTATTAGATTATTATTAAAATGTAAATAATTACATTTTAGAATTCACACATTTTATAGAATGCAAATGAATGCAAGATGTTAGATATATACAGGTTCCAAATTTTTTTTTAAACGGGGTTGTTGTTCATTATGTTTTTTATTAAGGGCGAACTGGTTGTTTTTCTGAGCCGTTTCATTCTTTTGGTTTGAAAACCAAAATTACTAATCTATGAGGTAAGTGCATTAATTTAAAGATGGAAAGTACAGGCCTGCGTCATTGGTTTCTGAGCGTTATTCTTGAAATTAGCTCTGTCCAATAACTGTGCTGTGTTATGCATGAGATTGCATTACAGCGGAGAATTCAAATGTTTCAGATGCATTGTTTCATCTGTTGAACACTTGTCATTCAGAGACATATGGGTCGAGACTCGAAAGACACTGCAGGTGAAGAGGGTAAACATTTTGACTAATATCACAAATCCAATAGTCTAATAGTCACGAGTGGAATATGACTATGACTTTCATTGCACGTTCTTACAGACAGTACTTGAGACTAGGGCTGGGTATCGTTCAAAACTTTTCGATATCGATACTGATACCTTCACTTCGATACTGGTTCCTGAACGATACTTTTTTCGATACCAATTTTATGAAATCAATTTTAACAAGATTATATTATCTAAAAAAAAAAAACTTTGGTTTTATTTTTCAGCTTGTTGATGTTTATACAGACACAAAGACTCATCTCCTGAGCCACTGCACAAAGGAACAAAATGTAACCAACACAATAAATCAGTGCAAATCGTTTTAAAAAAGCTCAAATAGTCTTCAGTTTACACATCTGTTAGGCTACATTTACACTAGTGCGTGTTCATTTTAAAACGCATAGCTCAGACAGAATCATGATTTCTATGTATTTTCCACTGATTTACTGATGAGCATTAGCAGCTTCCAGCGCTGTCTGCTTGTGTTCTCTCTTCCATGATCGCTGCTCTGACTATATATCATATAATAACATATTTAATTTCAGCAACATTACATGGCCAAAACACACATTAGACGACAAACTGAATTTGCGGTGTATTACAGTACCACGAGAGCTAAAGAGAGCAGACTGCTCCGTGCGCTTTTGAATCACTCTCGCAGATGTCAAACACTGATCGATCTGCGCCGCACCTCTTCTAGTCGAACACACCAGCTAGTGCTGCAGGATTATTGGCTCACTGACGCTGATGAGATTAACCCCATAGGTATCGAAATTTGGTACCGAACGACGTGACGTTTTTCGATGGTATCGAGGCAATTCGGTCGGTGCCTAAAAAGTATCGAACTCGATACCCAGCCCTACTTGAGACTCTTGTAAACTGCATTTCGAAACTCACACCCAAGCACAGACAGTGTGAATATAGCCTACAAGGCATGTTATGGAAACAAAATAGCCCAAAATCTCAAAATGACCAGTGCATGAAAAACAATGGTTTCCATGTAGTGTCTTGCCTTACATTAAGAAGTATCTTAATTTTAATGAGTTTATTTTAAATCATTTTAAGTCACCCTAGTGGACCCCGGGTTGAGAACCACTGACCTATAATGACTTTGTACAGATTTCTTTAGTGTGTCATGTGATTGTGCTGTAATCGTGGGTCCAGGTGTGCTGACTTGCTCTTTTCCATATAGTGTTAATATGCCAAGTCCTTCTATGCAGCTGTGTAGAGCAGATGATTCTCACTGTATGATAACATGAAGAGTGTGAAGTGGCTCTGGACTCTGTTGTGGCTAGTTGAGTTTCTCGGCACGCTGTCTGTCGGTCCACAGATGATAAGTGCTCAGGCATAAGGGAGTCTGACATGAATTCATTTTGCCCTCTCTCGCTTTCCTCCGTAATACTGAAGTGAGCCATCAAGATCACTGATTGGAGGGGCAGCGAAACCAAACGTCTAGATATCGCGAAACCAGTGAGCATCCATAAATAATTCAATGTTCACGACATCCTGACGTCATTTCTGCTCCCCTGAAAGTAGCTTTTACTGTTATCCACACTGATAATTTAAGAATGCCACAGTTTGAGTATTACAATATGGGGTCAGAAGAGCATCCAGGTATAAAGGCAAATAAAAGCAACTAATGTAAACACCTTAATCATAATATTGTCGTATTCAGAATAAGGTAAATAATGAGATTAGTTACCGATGTCCTTGTAAACGTACTCATTGAGAGTCATGTATCCTTGTTGAATTTGAAAATAATAGTGTTCCTGGATCCAAATGTACAGAATCCATAATCCCACCATGAAGCTGCCCAGCCAGTGTCCATATACACAAAAAAGTATTGGGAAACACCACTTAATTATTGAATTCATGTGTTACATTAAGAATCATTGCTACAAGTGTATAAAATCAAGCAACTAGCCATACAGTCTACATTTGCACACATCTGTGAAAAACAATGGGTCTTTCTGAAGAGCTCAGTTAATTCAAGCTTAGTACTGTGATAAAATGCCACCTTTGCAGTAAATCAGTTCATGAAATTTCATACCTGATAGGTATTCTATGCTGTAAGTATTATTGGAAATTCTAAGCATTTAGCAGCAGCAACTCAGCCACAAAGTCACAGAGCGGCTCACCAAGAGCTGAGGAGCTTGGTGTGTAAAAGTCGCCCATACTCTGCTGATTCCAGATTTCCACACTGCCACTGGCATCAATATCAGCATAACAACTGTGGGTTTCCACGGCTGAGCAGCTGCATGCAAGCCTCACGTCACCAGTACAATGCCAAGCGTGGGATGGAGTGGAGTAAAGCACGCAGACACTGGACTCTGGAGCAGTGGAAACCTGTTCTGTGTTTGGCGAGTAAAGTTTGTTGGAAGAGGCATTATAATGGTATGGGGCTATTTTACAGGGGTTGGGCTAGGCCCCTTACTTCCAGTTTCTTACCAAGAGTGCTATACACTCCAAAGTCTTGCAGGAAGCCTTCCCAGAAGAGTGGAAGCTATTATAGTCTGTCTGTCTATATTAATGTCTGTGTTTAGAATGCGATGACATTAAAGTCCCTGTTGGTGCCAGGTGTCCCAATACTGTTATACCATATACTGTAGTATAGATCTCACATCTCGCCCAGAAACACACGGATCTGCTGAAGTGTTGTAAGATCAGGTGACTGACTTGAGATGGCCCATTTAAATTGTTTACATGATTACACTGACAGTTAAAGCCTCTTTGTGTAACATCTCTCTCATGGAGAAACAGATCAAGACGTGTCAAGAATGTATAAATATAACTTTTTTTATTCAGAAGATGAGATGAGTGAGGCAAATAATTCAAATAAGGCAGGAATATATTGAGCAATCGAACACGAGCGCACCTGACAGTCATAAGTGGGTTAAGATGCTGTGATTTCTTGACACATCTGGGACATGCACATCGCCTGCACAACTTTTTTTGTTTGTGAATAGTTGTAAGGAACTGGAAGCAAGCAGAATACGGCGGATTCTAAAGCACGCAGCGCCATCTGCTGTTAAACTAAGCTCAGAATCGATTCAAGAGAGAATCGCGATGCCTTCGGAAAATCTCAGAATCGATGCAGATAATTTCTCGATTCGCGATGCATCGATTTATTGTCCCAGCCCTAAAGTTTATGCGCCAAAAGCAGCGCTGTGAGATCCAGTGTGAAGCGCTTGAACTCAGCGATCGATTCAAGAGAGAATCGCGATGCCTTCGGAAAATAGTTTAAAGCCAAACAGGAGAAACACTGTGTGCAATGAACGAGACTTTTAATCTAAACATCGCCATCATTTACCATGGATTTACTGTAGTAACACTTACTGCACCATGGTATTGTGGCAGAAATGTGGGATATTCACACTGAATTTAATTACAGGAGTAATGGTATATAATTATAGTATGCATTTGTGATTAAGCTATAGCATGTGTGCATTTATACTGAATGTTTTTATACTACTGTTTTTCATACATGCTACCTAAAAACCATATAGTTATATTTCTACCATGGTATTGAGGTGCTATATGTGTGGTTTTATCTGTTTATCATGATTTAAATGTATGCTACTATGGAAGACCAATGCTTAATTTAAAAAAAACCGGTCAGAATAAATGTAACCATATAAAACTGAGGTTGCTACAATTTTTACAGGTGTTACTGATTTTGATAATGAACAAATATTTAATGCATCAAATGTGCATCTCTAAGAGACAAAAAAAGTGATATTATTATTATTAATATTATCAGGCAACCCAAACCTGTTTCTTGATTTGAAACAATATCACTCATTAGAACATGCAGAAACTAAGAAATTAAGTTTTCTATTTAGATATTTATTACAACACCGGTAATTAATGGTCTGGCAAAATTCTGGCATTAAACTTGAAAGAAATAAAGATTTGACATTTACCGTGATAATTATCGATATCGACTGATATGAAAAAAATTATCGTGATAATTTTTTTGTCCATATCGCCGAGCCCTAATCTGAAGTCGACATCTCGTATCTTTAGTCACCTGCATTATGCCAGGACAATTTCATCTGCTGTGACTGAGAGTATCTGCTGGTGTGGGAGAAGGAGACAGAAAACTGAATCTTTGCATTTGCTCGTGCTTCTTCGTGATTCTATTTGAAATTGGAATATTTTGCAACAACATCTTTTTAATGCATAAGTGCTCATTATTCTTTCCCCAAAAAAATACTGACCCTAAACTTTTGAACGATAGTTTGAGAATATTTTGTAGTGTAATCAGTATGTATTTGAATAACTTTTGACTGATTCAAGTCCGCCCTTGATGTTTCTGGTCAACTAATTAAAGTAAAAACAAATGATGTTTTTAGAAAGAAAATGAAGCCCTTGTTTGTTAGCTTGTTTTAATTTGCACCTGATTTAATCACAGGCTGCATTCAGCACAATCAGTTGAATTGGATGTTAAAGCTCCTTTCTGTGCTTTGCTAATGAGCGATGAGGAACGTAACCTCATCACTTTCTCACAGCGTACTTCACCGCTCTGAGATGTAATACAGGCATGATCAGGGGAAATATGATTTTCTAGCATTTCAGAAACCCATCACTTCAGATTTGTTGAGAGTGAGACAAGTGTAGGTGGAGATAACAAAACATGCAGGGCTGAGGAAAGCAAAAAAAAGCTTTTGAAAAAGAAGAGGAAGACAAATCGACTTCAGTATTGCTTATTCACATAGAGTGGAATTAGGTGGTTTTTTTTTTCCTGTTTCTATTTATCTATTTATTTGCTTACTTGCGTAGTTGTACTAAGATATAGTGATTGTCTGGTCCATCCAGATTGGTTAATTTCAGTATGCTGGTTCAAAAATACATAACAAGAGTGTTGTTATTTGTAAATAAAACTATCAAAAATCATCTTCATTAATTGAAATAAAGAAAAAATTTATAAAATGAAAACTTAAACTTAAAAAAAAACTTTGTTAAAAGAATGAATTAACTAAAACGTACTAAAAGTAAAAAAAACTAGAACTGAATCAAAACACATTATTAAAAATATCAAAAATAAATATTTTTAAAAACACATTAGTGCTAAGTAGACCTTAGAAAAAATTAAAAAAATGACAAAAGCACAAACCAAATTGTCTAAAACTAAGATGAAAGCTGAAAAAATAAAAATAACAGTTGATTTAATACATTAATATATGCTATAATAGGTTAAAAATCCATAACATAATTTGTCACTCATGTGCCCTAGCATCATTTTACATAAAGAAAAAATTGAATGAGCACTGCAATCAAGTTCAATTTGCTTATTTTAGTTTATGTCTGCATTGATTTTATGTTTTTTTTGTCTTGTATCCTTCTCTGTACAGCACTTTGGTTCCATTTGTGGTGTTGAAAGTGCTCTATAAATAAAGTTTGAGATGGTGTAAAAGTATGTGTTATAAGTTTCATACTGTCAAGCATATTGAGATGCTCATTGTTTTTGTGCAGACTTGTTTCGCAGAAGGCCCGCAGACTGTAGCTCAGCTACTTTAGATTGTGAATAGCTTATATCTCAACAAAGTACAGTTTCAGGGAAGCTTCCCCAACACACGATTGTATTAAGGGAAAAATGGTGACACTTTCACTCTTTCTCTGTCTGTGTAGCGCCTACTCTAGAGGAGTATGATGGGTCGGAAGCGTCCCTGAACGAGACGGCCACTACCATCACCGTCCTGCTGAAACCTGCCCAGGCTAAAGGAGCTCCTATCAGGTGTGTGTTTGTGGCTCCTCGGTCTCCTCATATCCTCCAGACGTTATTAGACTTCCTCTCGGTGTTGTAATGAGCTGCTGCTGGTGACATTACTGCTCCAATATTCACTTCCTGTGTTTCTCAGCTCATAAGCCCTCACTCTCTGTCTCTCTTTCGGTCTCTTTCAGCTGTTCGATATTCCTCTCAACACTTGCACAAAGATCCCTATTTGATCTGAGCCGTGCCTGACTCTTCCTCTTCCTCTTCCTCCTCCTCCTCCTCTCTCTGCTCTCTGTTTGACTGGTTTGAGGCTCTGGGCTTGAAAACAGTCTTTCAGTAATTCAGCTGTCGTTGTGACAGACTCATTCCTGCAGCCACACTCAGATGGAGGAGGAAGACTTATTTACTTGTTGTTTAAATTCAGTCAAGTAAGGAAAATGCAGAAAAACAGCATTGGTAACGTGAAGGGAAGCAGGGATGTGAGCCCATTAGTGCACAGTTAGAGTTTCCCCTGAGGTATCCTAATTAGAATGATTTTATGTAAAAAAAAAAAAAATACGGCTGTCAATTTAATGCGTTAATTTGGTGTGATTAATTATGTAAAAAATAATGTGTTAAAATGATTAAGGCATTTAACATATCCGCCCCATCCAGACATGTCCATCATCTTACACTGATGCAGTTGCTGATGAACATGCAGGACAACTGACTGCATGATAAAGCCTCTTAGAGTACAGTTATATGAGGCGAAAATTCAAGATATGAGGGCAAAAAAATGACCTTTTAATGGTTTTTGTCTTATATTATATAGTTTAGTGATATCAGAGTGCTGTTTTCCCAAATATCTGCACAATTGCAAATGTGATACTGATTTTTACAAGTTCAATAAACAAGTTAATATTGTGTTAAATATTAGACACAATATTGTCAGTATTGCCTGTTTTTGCCTAATTAAAGAAAATAGTTATGAACAAAGTCACAACAAAACTGTTGTGCATCTCTGATCAAAAGATACCAGTGAAGTGTTACTGAATGAATCCATGTTTTTATACAAATAGTGTGAGTCAACGATTCAACGACTCATTTATAAAGTCCGTTTGAACAAATCGGTTTCTTCTTACAGTATTCTAATTATAGTTCAAATGCATGGCATCTCTGCACAGTCTGTGTAAATACACCAAAATTCAGATGCAGCTTATGAAAACAGTCTTATGGTCACATTGCAGTATAGCGTGTGTGTGTGTGTGTGTCTGTGTGATAAATTCTGTTGAATCAAAATATTTCTTTCCAAATCTACTTTTATGTCTATTCAATGCTTTTCTCATTTAACACAATAATGACTTTACATGATCTTTTGGGGTGTCATTTCTCTTTGATTAATCTATGATTAGTTTGATTAATCAATTGGCACATCATCTATTTGACTAGAATGGAAAACATTAGTAACTTGTCAACCCTAGGAAAAATTATTTGAATATGGCGACTTAGGCCTTTCCTGAGTCAAGTTTATTGTCATTTCAGCCACATATTACTCCACTGTCAACAATGAACACTACAGAAGAGTACAGTTAGGAATCAGCAGCACACATAGAGAACAAGGCCAATGATAAGAGCGTAGCCCGTGTTCAGTAGTACTGATCACTGCAAAGCACCAGTATACTGCAAAAATTACAGTTATAAAAACATATATGTGTGGTAATGTGATGATACAGAAGGGGTAAAATGGTTAGATATTTTTAAACGGATGGTAGAGAGTAGTACTGCTCAGTCCTGCTAGAAACAGTGTGATAACTTCGAAGACAAAGCATTTCAAAATATTTCTTTCCAAATCTACTTTTATGTCTATTCAATGCTTTTCTCATTTAACACAATAATGACTTTACATGATCTTTTGGGGTGTCATTTCTCTTTGATTAATCTATGATTAGTTTGATTAATCAATTGGCACATCATCTATTTGACTAGAATGGAAAACATTAGTAACTTGTCAACCCTAGGAAAAATTATTTGAATATGGCGACTTTAGTGACCAGTGAGCACATGTACGTAGGAACCGCACAGATCAAGGAGATTTTGTCTTCCAGTTTCCATAGACAAACATCCGAATGACTTAATGTCCGAATGACAAGAGCTTAGATGGATTATGCCTGAATATCCCAGCTCATATTGCAAAATATCTTCCCAAAAGTATTATTTTGCATGAAGACAATGGTGCCATTTCGATTTTCTGTGCATGATCATGTTAGAGAGTTGAAAAGTGAGATGTTTTTTTTTTCTTGGGGTGCATGTAATTGTGTCATTAATGGCTGTCGTGTTCTGTCCGTCATCAACAGTGCCTATCAGATCGTTGTGAGGGAGATCATCCCGCACCGTGCGCGGCGGGAGGCCAGCGGCGGGGAGTGTTACCGTGAGCCGGTGTCCTATCAGAACGCCGCCAGCGCCGGGCTGCCGTATTACTTTGCAGCGGAGCTCCCACCCAGAAATCTCCCAGAACCGCTGCCATTTACCGTGGGAGACAACAAGACATACCACGGCTACTGGAACGCCCCCCTCGCGCCCCGCAAAAACTACAACATCTACTTTCAGGCAGTCAGCAGAGTGGAGAAGGTCAGCAGAAGATAAATAAACACACACATCCCTCTCAGTGACTGAGAGCGTGCGACAGGACTGACACAGAATCACAGTTTGATCTGTTCTGTCCTTGAGCTGCCATTTGTGTTGCTTCTGGCTCTTTTATTGGTGCATTGTGCATTCGTCTGCAATGCATGTGATGGTTCACACCTGTGACAAATCCTCAAAAAGTATGAAAATATGACCTTCTAGTGTTTTGACTATAGTGTTTCAAAATCATTAAAATGCATTACAAGTCAAGCTGCTGCAGTCATTCTGCTCAATATGTTGATGTGATTCTGCTCTGCTATTCCTAGAGTTTTGAGAATTATCTTTGAATTGTTGTTGTTTGTGTTTCAGGAAAGTAAAACGCAGTGTTTGAAACTGGCTTTTAAAGGTAAGCCCTTCAAATTGAGAGCATGCATCTACCATACATTTCTCCAGTCGGTCTCCTTCTAATCTCTCTCTGTCTCTGATGTTATGATGTAAGAGCAGGTTAAATTCTGTCATCTAAAGTCTGGCGGTGATTGGTGTTGTGTGCGCTGAGCTTTTAGCAGAGTTATAGAAAAGCAATTTTAGTATATGCAGTGGGACAGTGTCGACGGGCCAAAGCTTGACCATCCTGCTCACAATTGCCTATTCTGTTCAGATGCGTGTACATATGCATCATAATTACATATGATCAGTTACTGTACATATGCATCGCATTTATAAACATCTCCAAATATATGCACTAAAATATACTGCTACGTAAAAGGCACAGTATGTGATTTTTATATGTAATTTAATGTGCAATAAATGCAAGTTTTTGCATTCGTGCCATTTTGCCTTAGTGCAAGTGGAAATGGATTGCATGTATTTGTGCATATTAAATTGGCATGTGTGGATCGTTTTGAAATTGAATAGGTCACACTGCCTCACACAAGAACACTTTTAGATCATTGTTCAGAACGGTTGTGACAGTGAGGAAATTTTCCCACTGGTTAATCGACGTGTGACAACACCGGTAATACCGGTTTCACCGCGGGGGCGGGGGCGTTCCCTCTTTTCCTGGCTTTCCTTTGCTTTTAAATAGCTTGTAAATGCGGCGTGCCCATTTTACTTTCACTTTAAAAAAAGCGACAATTAAGCGTAAAGCAATAGTTAGTTTGAATTTTCCCTCTTTTCCTCACTTTCCTTTGCTTTTAAATAGCTTAAAAGCGCCATGCGCATTTTACTTTCACTTTCGAATTAGCTGCAGTTCGGCATCAAGACATATCTTCATTTTCTAACCAAATGTGCGCAATACTACTACTATGTAAAATGCTTCTATTATTCTAAAATAGCTTAATATTTAATGCCTAGGGTTGAAGACCTATGATTTAATGGATTTCCAGAAACTCCTTTTTTGCTTGACAAAATGGTACTTATAGAAATCAATTCAGAAACTTTGTTTTTTTGGTCCCACTTTATATCAAGTGGCCTTAACTACTATGCACTTACATTTAAATGAATAATTTAGTGCTATGCACTTATTGTGTATACATGTTTTTACATTGTTCTTATGTTTTTAAAAATACGTGCATGTGATTACATCTGTAATTAATTTCTGTTATTACGTTTATAATTACACTGATGACCCATCCCTTACATCTTAACCAACACTTAAACCTACCCATACCACCAAACCTGTCCCTAACCTTACCCGTGTCCCACCTCAATAACAGCAGAAGTGTTTTGTAAAACAATATGAACACAACAAGTACGTTGTACTTATTTTTATGTTTTATAGTCATGTAATGTAATTCCACATTTATAATAAATGTATTATGTAATTCCAGTGTTTACACAGGCCTTTCCTGAGTCAAGTTTATTGTCATTTCAGCCACATATTACTCCACTGTCAACAATGAACACTACAGAAGAGTACAGTTAGGAATCAGCAGCACACATAGAGAACAAGGCCAATGATAAGAGCATAGCCCGTGTTCAGTAGTACTGATCACTGCAAAGCACCAGTATACTGCAAAAATTAAAGTTATAAAAACATATATGTGTGGTAATGTGATGATACAGAAGGGGTAAAATGGTTAGATATTATGGAAATAATAGATCTTAAAAGAATATACATGTATGTTTTCTGCATATTAAATGAAATTAAGTGAAAGCGTTTTATAGTTTAAATTTATAAATACAATTAGTAGAGCTTTAGAGTGTTTTTGACCCACTTAAGTAGGACTTGAGTACATTTTTAAATGTAAAATCATAATTACCTCTGTTGTCTTGGAAATATGGTTAAAGTATACAGCCAAATACAATAACAACTAGATAGTAAAGTTCGTAGACAAACTTTAAGTTGGCTTGAAAAAGCCAAGGCACAAAGTTTGTAAAAATGTTAAAAGCTTTCAGTTTGAAGTAGTTTGAAATACTTAAAATAGTTTTAAAGATTAAAGTTGGAATGTTTTGAAGGCAATACAGTCTATCAGAAGAACAGACATAGAAAAGCAGATCGCTAGGGTACTCAAGGTGGTTGCTAGGGTGTTTCTAGGTTACATGGGGTAGTTGCTAAGGTATTGCTATGTGGTTGCTAGGGTACTTGGGGTGGGTGCTAGGCTGTTGCTCTGCAGTTACTTAGGTGCCCGGGCTGGTTGCTAGGGTGCTGCTATGCAGTTGCTAGGGTGTTCTGTGTGGTTGTTGCTATGCGGTTGCTAGGGTATTTAGGGTGGTTGCTAAGAGGTTGCTATGCAGTAGCTAGGGTATTCTTGCTAGTTGATAGGGTGTTGCTATGTGGTTACTAGGGTAGCTGGGTTGGTTGCTAAGGTGTTGCTATGGTGGTTGCTAGGGTACCCAGAGTGGTTGCTAGGGTGTTTTGCTATGTGGTTGCTAGGGTACTCAGGGTTGTTGCTAGGGTGTTACTAGCATGTTGTTAGCATGATTAGCAAGTTACCAGCATGTTGTTTACATGATTAGCAAGTTACTATCATGTTGCTAGCATGATTCTAGCATGATTACCATGTTACTAGCATGATGCTAGCATGTTTAACAAGTTGCTAGCATGTTTCTAGCACGATTAGCACGTTACTAACATGGTGTTAGCATAATTAACAAGTTACTAGCACGTTTCTAGCATGATTAGCATGTTACTAGCATGTTGTTCGCATGTTTCTAGCATGATTGGCAAGTTACTAGCATGATGTTAGCATGATTAGCAAGTTACTAGCATGTTGTTACCATGTTTCTATGCTAATCCAGCTAAAACCAGTTGATTCAGTAAAAAAAAACAGCTAAAAACCAGCTAAAACCAGCCTGACCTGCTAAAAAAGTGGCCAAAACCACTTTAAAACCAGCTTGGGAGACCAGCCAAAGCAGTCAATCAGCTTAGGCTGGTTTTAGCTGTTTTTTCAGTAGGGAGTTGCTAAGCTTTGCTACTGCAGTAGACAGCTTAATTACACCTTATAAGTGAATAAGTCTTATTGTATAAAAGTTTTCACCCCCTCAATGAAAGTCTATGGGATTTTAGGTGGTTTTGATAGTCTGGTTTACGAAAACCGTAAGCCGGATCAGTTAGAAAAGATATAGCAACCCGAGTCAGACCAGTCTGAAGGTTTGACCCGAGTTTGGTGGCTGTAGCTTTAAAAGTCCAGGAGGAGATACACTTTAAAATTGGGTCTAAGAAGAAGATTCAGTTTAAACAGGATTTCAGTACGTTGGCTTTTTCAAGCCATCTTAATAATACTTCTACTGAAAACTACTGTCGTGTATTCAAATATGTTTGTAATTACACATTTAAGATATATTAAATTGAGATGTAATATTAAATAACACACTACAGTTAAAAATGATAATCAAGTACTTTGTGCTTTGTTGTGTTAGTCACACATCAAAATAAGTGCATGAGAAAAGATTATTAAAACATAATGATATTTAAAAGTACTGTAGTATAAAGTGAAACTTACCAATTTGACAAAGAACACAGTCATGAAAGCGTCTCTCTTTAAGTGCACTTGTGTTTTATTAATACCATAATGTGTCCCAACAACTGTTTTTAAAAATAGACTTTTATGATTTGAAAAGCATTAGATACAATTAAACACACTTCTGTTTCACAAGTGACCCCCAATCTGTTTGTGTTTTGAACCACCATAGATGACATGCCACGTATTCCCTGATCTGCATATCAGCGTTAAAACCAGTGCATTCACAGCGTTCTCTGCTGCCGTGTGCGCTCCAGTATACGACAGTGATTCTAACAGGCCTGGAGAATACACTGATGGCTTCACTCCTGTGTTTGACAGAGTCCCAGAGGTTTTACATTCTGTTTAGCTCAACATCGTATCCTTCACACTCTGTTCTTTAGGCTGCGCTCTGAGGCAGCTTCTTCTCTTTGAACAGTTTCATACTTTTATTTTTAGATTTTTGTGTTCTGTATAATGTATCCGTGCCAGGTAATAAATAATATTAGCGTTCAGCAATGGAATGAAACAGTGGTTGTCTGCCAATGTTTGGAGAAACATATCCGACAGTCATTTTCAACCCATTCTGTTATGCTTTGGCAGCGAGAGAAAGATATCACACAGCAGACTGATGGCAGTTTGTGAAACGTCCAGGCATTTTAATGTTGTGGTCAGAAGACCTTCATGCTATTTGGTTTAGAGGTACATTTGTAATAGAAGCTAGTTGTAGTGGGAAAAAACACCATTTATTTTGGTGACCTTGGTTTTCTGGGTGCTACTTTGGCTTCTTAGTAGACAAAAAAAAGCGAAATAATTGGTAACACTTTATTTCGATAGTCCACTTTAGACATTCTATTAACTATAAGTAACTTTGTAAATACATGTCAACTACATGTCAACTAATTCTCATTCATTTGCAACTACATGTCTACTAACTCTCAGAGTAGACGGTTAGGGTAGGTTTAGGGTTAGTAGAATAAGTTGACAAAGAAAGTGTTAGAAGATATTAAGCAGACAGTCTACTAATACTCTACTAACTGCTAGTTGACATGTAGTTGCAAAGTTACTTACTGTTAATAGAATGTCTAAAGTGGACTATCGAAATAAAGTGTTACCAAATAATGTGTCATATCTTGAATTTGAGCTTGCATCTCATCTCTTTGCAATGGAGCATGTGCTCTAACGGCTAAGCCGTGGCTCTGACCTAACACTTGTACGAGGGAATGTTAACTTAAAAAGATTTGCTTTTTGTCTCCAGGGGCCACAGAGGAGCCGGAAGTGATTCCAGACCCGGCCAAACAGACCGACCAAGTGGTGAAAATTGCCGGCATCAGCGCTGCCGTGCTGGTCTTCATTCTCCTGGTGCTCGTGGCCATCCTGCTGGTGAAGAAAAGGTAAGGCTCTGTGAATACAGTTACAGTGCGTTTGTGTTAGCTCTTGAGATGCCCACGAGCACACCGACATCCTCCTTCCACTGCCATCTCATCACATCTCCAGCACCCAGGGAGCAGCCGCAGGGGCCCCAGCTCCACCGCTGTCAGCAACTACACGCCACACAGGGGCCGCTCGTTTCCCCAGCCTCTGGCTTCCAGCGTAACAAGACCAAATCTCAATTAAAGCCATTAAAAGAGAATCAGATGCGCACACAGTAAACCCGCACACTTACAGTATGAGGAGCACCGACAGAAATCTGCCGTCTTACATACTTTATTTAGCCCATTGACAAACCTGTTTATTCATTTGAAAACGTTCCAAAAAATGTATACCAGGAGTACAAACACATTCAAATGCACACAGCCACGCTAAAGTTTGGGGTTTTTGAATGTAAGAGGTGTCCTCTGCTCACCAAGGCTGCATTTGTTTGATCAAAAATACAGTAAAACATTAATATAGTGAAATATTATTACAATATAAAATAGCTGTTATAAAGCGGAGAGTTCCGGAGCTTGATTCTGTGGTTTACAGTGAATTTATAACAGCTAAGAGGGTTTTAGGCACGACGCGACAACGCCACTTAGCTGTTATAAATTCACTGTAAACCACGGCTTCTTTGGGCTTATTGCTTTATTTTCTATGTGAATATTTAAACTGTGACGCGCAGCTGTATTTTCAGCATCATTCCTCCAGTCTTCAGTGTCACATGATCTTCAGAAATCAGTATAATATGCTGCTCTGCTGCTCGAGACACATTTCTGATTATTATCAGTGTTGAAAACGGTCGTGCCGCAGTTGTGATCAACTGTATTTTTCGGGATTCTGTGATGAAATTTTTTTTACATTATAAACATCTTTGCTGTCACTTTTAATCGATGTAATGCATCCTCCATTTTCAGAAAAAAAATAATAATAAACTGACCCCAAACTTTTGATCATGACGCTGGAACTGTTCGATTTCCGGAGAATTTACATAATCATACACTGAAAAGTCTGAATGCACTGCATTTGGATAACAGTGTGGAATCTGGAACTGTCACGTTGCACAGCATATCCAGCAACTTTATCTATCTAGAAACATGTGTACATTTTTTTTTATTATGTATTTGAATGACAGCTGACCAGTGCATGAAATATGATGGTCTAGACACTGAATTAATTCACTTTATAACTGTCACGTTGCACAGCATATCCAGCAACTTTATCTATCTAGAAACATGTGTACATTTTTTTTATTATGTATTTGAATGACAGCTGACCAGTGCATGAAATATGATGGTCTAGACACTGAATTAATTCACTTTATCCACCTTTTTCTTCAACGCGGAAGTAAGCCTATGGGTGAGACTTCCGGTTCATTAGCCGCTAACAACGTGCAGTAAACGGTAACACTGTTTGCTCTATAATTAAGATAATACATTCAAATAATATGATAAGACACACCAACTTTCAATATCAAGCAGCAAAACGAACTGTTTTGTTCAGCTAAAAATAGCTGGACGCAGATGAGACCGGAAGCCAGACCCATAGAATTTACAAATGTCGCCCATTTTTACGACAAGAAAAAGGTGGATAGTTTGTTTGTTTTTTCTCAAAACATTGGTAAACAAAGCGTGAGATATGGCACATATATTTGTGGGCAGATTATGTAGGCAGTTATGTCAGTCGGTTGTTGTTCGATTCTGAAGTGTGTGGTTTCGAGAGCGTTTGCAGCAGCAGCCAAACACTGACTCGCACATGAATCAGCATTAGTCTAGTGGAAAAGTTGCATGTGTGTGTCTCAGTGTAGAGGAAGCTGATGTGTGCCTGAGGTGAACATTCGTATCGGTGAGATGAAGGAAAAGAACAGAGGGTGTGAGGAAGCTGAGCGTTTGTTTCTCCGTTCTTGCTTCTGTCTACGGGCTCCATCATGTGGCGTTTTCTTGAACAGCAGGCTGTTTAAAACACAAATCAATGCTCATTGATTGATAACAGACCAGACTGGAAATTCCAGATTTTCATAGTTATATATTAACTATGATAATAGTTGTATCTCGGCTAAATATTGTCCTATCCTAACAAATCATACATCAATAGAAAGTTCATTTATTCAGCTTTCAGGTGATGCATAAATCTCAATTTTGAAAAATTGACGCTTGTGACTGGTTTTGTGCTCCAGGGTCACATTTTATTTCTTTAACTAAAAAGAACAGACAGCCTTGATCTACTTTAAAATAATAATAAAAAAATAATAAAATAAAAGATTTGACATGAATCATAGGTTATCAAATTTCTATCACATTTTGTCATGCAGCTTTGTTCATGAAATCAAAAATGCTGACTAAGAACATTATTTTGTGCAGTTTTATTGCTGTTTATTGTTGTTAGTCAAGAATACAACAGCTATTTTTACTAATTTGTCTATGCAAAAAAATATATATATATACAGTATGTTTGATCAAATTTTGAATTACAATTTCAAGCATAAAAGGACCTGCGCTGACACAAAAAAAAATCCCTCATGAATGCCAAAAGTAATTTTGTAACAGTAAAGTAGTACATTTTTTCAAATAGAAACAGGCATGGTTTTATTTCTCTGAATCACCTCCACTAATTTACAAGTATTTCCTACAAGTTTCCTCAAAGTTGTCCCTTACCATGGAACTAAAGCTTTCCTATCGGATCATCCCTTCTTCTCTCTCCTGTCTGTTGTTTATTCCTACATGTGGGTGCTTTGGGGTGGGCTGAAGGGTGCAGTGGTACTGTTTTCTGGAGTAGTAGATCTGTAATGATTCTGTCTTTAATTGGCTTATCAGGAAGCTCGCCAAGAAGCGCAAGGACGCCATCGGAAACACCCGTCAGGAGATGACGCACATGGTCAACTCCATGGATCGCAGTTATGCAGACCAGAGCACTCTGCACGCCGAGGAGCCCGTGTCTGTCACCTTCATGGACTCGCACAGCTTCAGCAACCGCTGTGAGTACTCAAGCACAGCTTACATCTACATGGAACATTGTAGAATCATATCGAGCTTGTCTGAGGATTTTGAAACTTCCACTTGATATGTGCAGGAAAGCATCGTAAAAACCGAAACACGCCCAAAGCCTTAAGCGGCCCACGTAAAGAAAGTGTGTCATGACAACATTTTCTTTTTGCTCTGTATTACCAGTGGTTTAGATTATTCCCCTCTCTCTTACCCAGCCTAGATCAAGCGCATTTAATGTGATTAGAGTGCCTCTGCAGTTCACAAGGCATCCAGGTTAGTTATTAGTAATGACCTAATATTGTGCAAAACGCACCCACGTTCAGCAGTGCTTCTGTTGAATCGTGAGTAAAATCTCAAGTGCAGACGCAGCAAATCTGATTTCAGTTTCGGAACATCCTCAGCTCTTGAGTTTTTGTTTATGATAACTCTGCGTGTTTCTCTGCAGTGCCTAATGACCCTCTCGTGCCGACAGCTGTATTAGGTGAGGATTGTGGGTGTATGGTGTGCCAGTATCTGTGTCTGTGGAGTTTCATCAGAGCAATTCAGTTCAATCTGTGCCGTGGCTCAAAGACAACATGAAATCCAGTTTACAAAGAAAGTGTGTCATGACAAGATTTTCTTTTTGCTCTGTATTACCAGTGGTTTAGATTATTCCCCTCTCTCTTGCCCAGCCTAGATCAAGCGCATTTAATGTGATTAGAGTGCCTCTGCAATTCACAAGGCATCCAGGTTAGTTATTAGTAATGACCTAATATTGTGCAAAACGCACCCACGTTCAGCAGTGCTTCTGTTGAATCGTGAGTAAAATCTCAAGTGCAGACGCAGCAAATCTGATTTCAGTTTCGGAACATCCTCAGCTCTTGAGTTTTTGTTTATGATAACTCTGCGTGTTTCTCTGCAGTGCCTAATGACCCTCTCGTGCCGACAGCTGTATTAGGTGAGGATTGTGGGTGTATGGTGTGCCAGTATCTGTGTCTGTGGAGTTTCATCAGAGCAATTCAGTTCAATCTGTGCCGTGGCTCAAAGACAACATGAAATCCAGTTTACTTGCTTTTAGTATGTCATTTGTGACCCTGGACCACAAAACTAGTCTCAAGTGTCAATTTTTTTGAAATTGAGATTTATGCATCATCTGAAAGCTGAATAAATAAGCTTTCCATTGATGTATGGGACGATATTTAGCTGAGATACAATTATTTGAAAATCTGAGGGTGCAAAAAAATCTAAATATTGAGAAAATCATCTTTAAAGTTGTCCAAATGAAGTTCTTAGCAATGCATATTACTAATCAAAAATGAAGTTTTGAGATATTTACAGGAAGGTAGGAAATGTACAAAATATCTTCATGGAACATGATCTTTACTTAATATCCTAATGATTTTTGGCATAAAAGAAAAATCTATAATTGTGACCCATACAATGTATTGTTGGCTATTGCTACAAATATCCCCCAGCGACTTAACACTGCTTTTGTGCTGCAGGGATACATTTGTGTGACCCTGGACCACAAAACTAGTCTCAAGTGTCAATTTTTTTGAAATTGAGATTTATGCATCATCTGAAAGCTGAATAAATAAGCTTTCCATTGATGTATGGGACGATATTTAGCTGAGATACAATTATTTGAAAATCTGAGGGTGCAAAAAAATCTAAATATTGAGAAAATCATCTTTAAAGTTGTCCAAATGAAGTTCTTAGCAATGCATATTACTAATCAAAAATGAAGTTTTGAGATATTTACAGGAAGGTAGGAAATGTACAAAATATCTTCATGGAACATGATCTTTACTTAATATCCTAATGATTTTTTGGCATAAAAGAAAAATCTATAATTGTGACCCATACAATGTAATGTTGGCTATTGCTACAAATATCCCCCAGCGACTTAACACTGCTTTTGTGCTGCAGGGATACATTTGGTCTTACTGTGCACTACTGTACACTTTTAATCAGTGCATGTTACAGTAAAAGATTTTGTAATATTTCGTCAAGATGTGTTCACTTTCTTCACCTCTTGTAACAAAGGAGGTGTGAGTGAGGAAATAATATTAACCAACAATATAGGCCAATCTAATCCAATCAAAATGATTTAAATAAAGCCCTTCCCTGCATAATTAGTGCGTGTTGCGCAATTTCATGTTGTCTTTAATCTGTCCATATTTCCAGCCAAACCCTTCTCCCCAATTAGTTAAATAAGTTCAAGTCATGAGGTAATGTTTGATTCTGGTTGCGAGAACTGAATTGAGCTGAGTGCTCCTGCTGCACATAAGGACCTTCATTACCCAGCATGCATCACTCATGTAGCCCCCCCCCACCATGTTCCTGTTGTGTTACGTTGAATAGCGTTTCTCAGTCATTTCCACGGCTCCTCCTGGATCGCACAGTGAACTGAAGTGCCCGGTTCAGCCCGGATGGACTCTGCTATTGTCAAGTTGCATCCAAGCATGCAGCTCAGGGAG